GTGTGTGTGTGTGTGTGAGTGTGTAAGGTGTGAATGAGGTGTGGGGACGCGGGGCATGGAGGGATTTTTTTTTTTACATGAAAAGATTTTAGTTTTTGCTTTTAGGATGACTAAATGCATAATAGTATAGGTTACTGCCAAGGTCGAGCAGTCTTGTTTTCTCGTAGTACCTTTTGAAGACATTTTCAAATGAAGTATAGTCGGGGAACGTTGCTCCTACCACAACTGAAGTATCTGAATATTCAGATATTTATATTCTCTAACTCTAGATATTGAATTCGATGCAAAAAATGCTTCTTCCCAGTCCTCGCAGAATGGTAGAATGAAAGATGACGCCTAAATCTCGCAAAAAAATGTATTGTTACAAAAAATCTGGAAAACTGAAACTGTTCGGAGAAATAGAGATGAAGTTTATTTTCCCGAGCGTTCAGAGAAAAAGTCACTTCATTTAAAATGATATGGCTAGACTGACAAAAAGTGAAAAATAGGCCAACTGAATTGTTTTAATAAATTTTCAGTTTGCTAAAGATAAAAAGTATTTGTATTTCAAAGGAAACTGAATTACTGACAGTGCATGTATTTTAAACCTGAATAATTAGGCTGCTAGAATTAGATCTAGACTCTAGATCTAGATAATCATGAGACCATTACTCAACAGGTTTTGGTCAATAGGGCCTCCTAGATCTAAGGACGGCTAGATTGTCAGGCTAGCCGCTTTGTGTTTGATAAAAATTCAAGATTGTACCAATACAGATTCTAGGCCTACTAAATGCTATGATGTGTGAGTTACAGTGTATAGATCTACGTCAGGGAGCGTTTCTTAGCAAACAAAGAAGCACCCTGGACTGAGTCGGAACCCAAGATTTAAAATTTGAGTCAGTAAAGTATGATAATAATGGTTTGAGGATAATAAAGCTTCTTTTTTCACAGGTAGATCTAGATCTAGATCTATCTGGGGTCAGCTCTATGTTCCTCCAGCTCTAGTCTATAGTACAGTAGAGAATCTTTGGTTGATGGAAAGCGACTTGGCGTATGAGGCCAAATATGACTGAGTCGCCTTAAATTAAGGAAACTGGTGAGATAGAGATTGACTAAATCTAGATCTAGATCTATGATCTAGTCTAGATCTAGATCTAGATCTAGATTCTAGATTCTAGATCTAGATCTAGAGCTGGGGGAACATTGCATAGCATGCTCCCGTAGATCTAGATATCTAGATCTAGAGATCTAACCTTGAAGAGGAACAAGACTAAGCCTCGGCCTACCTACAATAAGTCGGTCCGTTTCACTTTCTGTGTCGCAAGTTGCCTGCTTCAAGCTCTCTGTCTTCTCTTCCCACTGCCCTAGGCCTACCACCCAGTGTGGCAACATCAACAAACCGCCGCCGGAAGTCTGCTCCTACTTTCACTCTACGAAGGGCTATTCGAACTCGAGTTTGAATAGCCTTCGGTGACCCGTAGCTATTCGGACTCAAACTCCAGGCCATACCTCTCTGGCCATACTGTTTGGTTGAGGATTTCCCAGACTGACTCTTCTGTCGTTTAATTTACATTTTATTTGTACTCTAGATCTAGATCTAGATCTAGTAGCAGTTGTAGTATCTTTGGTAGTAGTTAAGGGGTATCGCTACCTTGAAAACCAACTTTTTATCCAGAGAACCTGTGAAGCTAGTAGGCCCCTATTGGTAGGCTAATGTTGAAACGAATGTGGAATGTGGAGGAATGAAAATCTACACCTTCAAACAATTTCCAAATTCATCGGTCACCATGGAAACGGTGGCCATCTTGAATTTTGTTGACAATTTTATGTTCTTAAACATTTCAAAACTACTAGATCTATGCTACCTAGACGGTTTTGTAAAGGCAAACAAGAGAGAAGACGTGA